AAGTAGCAGAAAGGTTATCTGTATGCAAACGGACCCCAGTGATATGAAAAATAAAGGCTCACCTTAAGCAGTGTCTAAATCAGAGGCTCATTGCATTTATAAATTGCTAATTTTCTTTCTCTGCTTGTTCAATCATTATTTTTAAATATTTAAAAAAGGAAATCAGTTTACTGATAGTATGTGAAGTTTTAATATGCTGTCTCACCTTGCAAGGATCAAGTTTATTCTGTATGCCTACATCAAAAGCTTAGATTTATTCACTGAATCAAATCCCATATCAGAATTGCTTTTATAGAGAAATTTGCCGGATTCCACACCGACAGCCAATTATCCATAGACTCAACAAATAATTGCTTGAGGTGCGGCATTATAATGCTCAAAAAAGAACTCTTATTCCAAATGCTTTCCTATGTGCTGTAGTCAAACAATGCTCCTGGGCTGACAATGATTTGGCTCACCAGGTTCTCATTTGAGGCAACCTGGTGTTACCCTAATTAAAAAGTCAGAAGAAAGAAATAGTTGCAGCCATACTGACCAAAGTCATTCAGGTCAAGGTGGTAGACAAGGGAGCTGTAGAGAGGCTATAAAATAAGGACAGGTAGATGACAGAGGCCAATATTGAAAGCATGGGATTTACCAAATAAGCATGAAGGTGATGAAAAGGTTGATGGCAGAAAAGGCAAAACGCTGGTTCAAAGCATAGTCAAAATTGTGGAAGCTGATGAGCTATATTGGTAACAAAAAACACAGGAGGAGGGAAGTAGTAGTAGTAGTAGTAGTAGTAGTAGTAATAATAATAATAATAATAATAATAATAATACGACGATATCTGTAATACCATCAAACATTCACATCTGCCTATCCCAAGTCCTGGGTAAGGACTCGATAGGTAGACAAAATGCCAAATCCAGTCTGAACATCTGGCTGACTGTGCGATGATCCGTAATAATAATAATAATAATAATAATAATAATAATAATAATAATAATAATAATAATAATAATAATAAAAGTTGGAAGGGACTCTGGAGGTCACCGAGTCCAACCCCCTGCTCAGGCAGGAAACCCTACACCAGTGGTTCTCAACCTGTGGGTCAGGACCCCATTTGGGATCGAACGACCATTTCACGGGGGTCGCCAAACAACGCAGTCTGCCATTTTTTCCCCCTTTTCCTTAGCTGTGCTACTCCCTTTTATTCTATTGGCTTTTGAAAGCCAATAGAATAGACTCTCTTGAATAGAGTCTAATTCTATTGGCTTTCAAAAGCCAATAGGAATTGTCCAGGCTGTCTCTGCCCTGCTGAGCCCGCCAAAAGTCCCATTCTGCAAACGGTGCTGCACCAGTTGAGTAGTCCTCGACTTACGACCGGTTGAGTAGTCCTTGACTTACGACCGGTTGGGGGGGGTCACGGCATTAAAAAGGTTGAGAACAACTGCCCTACACCATTTCGGACAAATGGCTGTCCAGTCTCTTCTTAAAAACTTCCAGTGTTGGAGCTTTTTAAGAAGAGACTAGACAGATTTGTCTGAAATGGTATAGGGTTTCCTGTAAAATAAAGTTAGAGGAGACATTCAGCCTTGGGAGAAATGGAGTTTAAATGCTGACTGTCACAATATGAGAACTACAGCAGCTACACAATCCTGGAAGAGAGTACAGTGTTTATTTACTGTGTTCCCCCAAGGTAATCCAAAGAAACTTTTTGTCTTTGGATCCAAAGGGTTGAACAGCTCTAATGTTAACATCAAAGAAGTCTGAAATGACATACTTATTTCCAGATTCTACAAATCAGATGCTATAGGCCTCATTAATTCAAAATTTAACTCTCATTTAAATTAAATGTTCTTTTATAGTAAGAAATGATGGCTGACATACTAGACTCTTCACCAGAAAGAACTTAAGTAATTACTTCTTTGATGTTGCTAATGTGTCATTTTGAGAGATTGAGCATTTAGTAGCCAAAGAGTTGAATGACCACAGTTTATTATCAGTGTATAGCAAAACCTGTTTTGCTTAACATATCTTCAGAAAAAAAGTATGAATTATTTTAAAGATGTTATATTTGAGTTGACCTACCTAGCTTCTTTGATCTATACCACAGAAAACAACGGCCATGCCATTACTATTTGTAACACATTTCACAAATGTATGCTCCTATCATAAGTGTCATATATTCTCTGGCAGCTGTGAAAAAGGGAATTAACATATGGTGGAAAATTCTCAGCAAAATACCAAGCTCTTATGGTTTAAATTCTTGCTATAGTCAATCACTAATTGTATTTTTTTTAAAAAATCCTTATGATATCCTTTTATAAAATTCTTAGCATTTGGGAATATTCTTTTCTAAACTCTTTAAGAATGCTATTAATAGAATAATCCTGTAAGGTAGGTGAGATGGAGAGAAAGTCCCAACAGTCTAACCCAGTGGTGTCGAACTGCCAGGCCACAGGCCGCATGCATCATGGCGAAACCGCACCCACCCCATTACCAACAATGGAAAAAAAATCACAATACGTCGCAACGTGTCATGTGACATTGCGAGTTTGACACCCCTGGTCTAACCCAACCGTCTTGCGGCTTTGTCCCGAACTGATAAAAGTAACAAGAACGGTTGTAGTCCACAGATGTCAACCCTTTAAGATAAAATAAACTCCAGAGATTTTTGAAGTAAACAGTGAAACCTATTTAATGGGATTGCTAAAGAAAACTCTCTCCACCCCACTAGGGTTGATGAATTTATTTTAAATAAATAGATTTAAAATAGAACTCTCCACTACAAAAAGGCTGATGCGACAATGCTCTACAGTTGATACACTGTATACATACCATTCTTAATTCTAGAAGGCATGCCATTTAGAATAGAAATTTTATATCCTTATATTGTATTGCTATTTAAAAAAAACAAGCTAGTACAGGAAGAATTCTACCTTTCTTTTAAATAACAGCAGATCTGGAGAGAAAAAATTGCATTAATTCAGTTCCCAATATATCATTAAGAAAGAGAAAGCAACAGAATTCATGAAAGGCATAATTAAGATAGGATTGCAGAGGGCAAGCAGGTCTGGCATCAACACAATAAGACTAAGGGCTGACAGTAAAAGACTTTACTGCTCCCAGATGCTAAGTAGATTAAAAACAAGCATTCAGAAAGAAATTGTGCAGCTCACTCAGAGCTAAGAGCTCTGCCAAATTCATAGAGTGCCTCAGGCTTCCATCCATGAGGGAGGAAAGAGAGCTGAGCCCCAGAGCATCACTTCAAAAGTTTTTCTCTGATTGGAAAAATCGAAATGGCAAAAAAAAAAAAAGGTTCCAAATGAGAGCCTGAAAAAAAAGAGAGCACTTTCAATGAAATTCTTCTTAGAAGTTAATCCAATTCTATTCATAGCAGACAATTATAAAGCACTTCTGTGCATACAAGGGTAACACACCTTACAGCCTCAAAAAAAAAAAAAAAAGTCAGAAAGTTGAAATAGAGACATAGGTCAATTTGGCTTTTTTAGAAGCTATCAGTTGTAAGAAAGCAATGCATAGCCAGCATATATCAAGGGCAATGGCCGTTAAGAAGCAGGGCATGCATTCAGTAGGAGATTTCACTAAATTGCAACTTGACTTTGAAAATGGAATTTATCAGCATTTTATGACACCAAGAGCAGAAGTAACTCTGTGGAAAGACAGAATACTAGCTATGGTGAATTCATTAAAGGCAAGCTCCATAATGGGCATAAGTCAATGACTATCTGTATATGCTAAATCTAGGGCAGGGGTAGGCAACCTTGGCTCTTTTATGACTCGTGGACTTCAACTCCCAAAATTCCTGAGCCATCTGGGAGCTGAAGTCCATGAGTCATAAAAGAGCCAAGGTTGCCTACCCCTGAATTCCAGGGCATAAAAAGGTAGAGGAGAACCTGGAGCGCTATGGTCCATGGGGTCATGATACGACTTAGCGACCAAACAGCAACAAGGGTAAAATGTATTCAACCAGCCTAATGATAATATTTGTTAGCATATTAGGTCTACCTATATTTTGAAAGTTATTTAGAGGTGCTTTGGAACCTGGATAAATACAGCCCTATCTGAAGCCACTTGGCATAATTAAATGAATAACAGAGAATCAGTGCATTCACATGAAATCTGAAGTGGCTTTCCTCTATTTTTTTTCAAAATGTGCAGGGCAAAGTCATAATTTTTATAATGTGTCAATCAGTCTATATATAGATTCCCCAGCCTAGAGTATAAGCCAATAAATCAAACAATGCTTATTTAAAAATGAAGGGGGGAGGAAGCTCAGGTGATTGTGATGCATCATTACATTCAAGTTTGTAGAACAAACAAAGACAGTATATTTCCTAGTTTGGGAATTTTTTTCAAGGTTGTATACGCTACATATAATTACACTGACACACACACTGTTCTAATATTACATTTTTCTGAATCTTCCTTGCCTCCCAATTTCAGTCTTGCCATTTTTGCTTTGCAAAAGGAGCTTTTTACAATTTTCTACCACCAATATTCCCACAATATTAGAGCTAAGGCAGAATTATGAACATACCATATATACTTGTAGATAAGGCAAGGATTTTAGGTTCCAAATTCTAGCAATTGGAAATTGGAATTGCTTTATCTATGGATGGGCTTATCTACAAGTATGTGGTAATGCTTTTTTTAAAATATCCAAAAATACTTGCAAATAAACCAACCCAGGGTTAAGCTGACTCTTTAATTTTAAACCAAAATACCACAAAAAGTGCATCACCTATGACTAATTTAGTTATAAAAAATATAAAAAGGAAAATTTTGAGGGTCAGCTTATCTGCATGTCACTATTTTCAGGGTATCTAGGCTACAAATTTGACGGTTTGCTTAGCAGCAGAGGGGTTAATAAGCATATATGGTATTTTTATGTTGCTGTTTTTAATTGACGAAATTCTGGGGCTGTCACTTATGAAAAGAAAACAACCACATTTCAAGAATGCAGAAATTATGGTACATGCATACAATCTTACCTCATTCCTTCAGTTGACCTATTCTGATAATTACGGTAGAGCTGCGGGATACCCACCATGGCTTCAATGAAAACAGCAAGGAAACCCAGGGTTTCAACAAAGATAATGGAGTCAAGGGAAAGGTAAGTGATGCATCCTGTTACCCCAGTGAAAGCCAGAACGCACTGCACATAATCTGCAAACTTGTTCCAGTGCCAGAAAGAGTTCAAGTCAAAATCTGAAAAACAATGTTTATAAATAAATGAAAATCAAAATGGACTGCTTTGCCAATTCAATGCCACTTGCACTTCCAAACATGAGAGGAAGACAGGATTATTTGGAAAGTATAAGGAAACTGTCATTAAAAAACTATCATTAAATAAACTGAGGCGGTAACTTATACAATTAGATCACTGATAAATCATAAGGTTATAACAATAGGGAGAGAGGATGGTGTGGAAAAATAAATGTATAATGCAACTCAAACTGAAAACTGCCTTCGTGAAATATTGTAGGGCAAGCAGTTACATAAACCATGATCAGGAATATCATTTGTGCAAAGTCTGAAGTTGTGGAGGGAGGGAAATAGACAACATTTGTCCTCCCGACAATGGTTGTCTCACAAAAGCCAAGTTTTATAAGAATCCAAAGCCATCCATTCAGAGAACAATAAAGAACAAGAAAATAGATTCAGAAGTCATGTTAAAAAAGTACTAGGATCCAATGGCTATGGTTGTGCATCAAAGCACACAACTTCCATCAAAAGATTTTCACAGGATTCGGAGATTTTCAGGGTTGATTCTTCCCTATTGATTATTTTGTCAAGAAGAAAAATATATTCACCCTGTCCTGAGAATATTCATCCCTTTTCTGGGGCTGGGACTTGGGTCACTGTACAAATTAGTATCTATCAATTAAATGGGAAATCTTCGCTCCCAGCGATGGGAGGCCTCACACTTTCTTCAGCCATTAAATTATCAGTCGAGAAGGATGGGAGCTATAGCCTTAGGCATTGAAGGTTTGGTATAATTTACTGCAACAAGGGTTGATTCTCTAGGGCAGGGGTAGGCAACCTTGGCTCTTTTATGATTCGTGGACTTCAACTCCCAGAAGGAATTCTGGGAGTTGAAGTCCACGAGTCATAAAAGAGCCAAGGTTGCCTACCCCTACTCTAGGGTAAAGGAAAAGCAAAAACATGTTGAAAACATTGCTTTTCTAGGGCCTCGTGATGACAGACAGACAGACAGACAGACAGACAGATAGATAGATATTGTGACTTCTTTCTTCTAATCTCCTGGGATCAGAGCAGGTGGCTGCACCTAACAGTCTTTCCCGATTCCTAGGAAAACTAAGTAGAGATGGACTGGGTTGGAATTTGAATGGGAGAACCCAAGCAAATCCCAGCCTTGTTTTAAAAAAAAAAAAAATCACAGAAAATGTAAAGATAAATTGCTTCCACATGGTGGCCAAGGAAAAACAAGGATGTATCTATCAGTCAAAGTTAACTTTTAGGCATTATCAGAAGGCAGCAAAATTGTGTGACTTTTTTATAGCAATCCTGACATTCTCTTGCTTGCATCTGCTGCAGCAATAAAAAACATTCTTCGCCATTGCAAGCCATCTTATTTGCCAGATAAAGATAGGAAAGCTTTACTTTACTGCAAATTCCATCTCCCAACCAAAATAACTGGGACATAAAACAATTCTCTGAGAACATTAAAAATAGAAATAATTTATTATCCCTTCTCTATAAGTACTGCCTAGCTGAGATTAATTGTATTTCAGCTATAATGAAAGCCTCACCCCATAACAGACTGGTCCACAACTGTTAGCTGAGAGCAATAAGCCATACTCCGGTGTGTTTGCAAGATAAAACCGAGCCTGATAGATCTGAGGGAGGATCTGCTTAATTCTGTCAATAATGTATGAGAGCAGTATTCAACTTGCACAAAATAGTCCTGTACTTGTGCTTCTCCCAAAAGGAATTTATTCTAATGAAGATGAAGACCAATCATTACATATTTTTAAAGAGAACAGGAGATATTGAAATCCTATCCCCCAAACACTACATTTAATCAATGATTAACATTGCTCTTTGTTTCTTATTCAGACAGAAGAGATGATGAATCTAGTCTCCCAGAGATAAATGGCAAGAGGATGAATATGTATAGAATCGTTTTTCAATTTATAGAATCGTTTTTCAATTCACCACACCTAAACAATGTAGTATGTTATCAAGCCTTTATGCTCTGAGGGATGCTTTCATTAAAAGGATTTGCTTATTCAAATAGGACTCCTTTAGAAAATAAGGGGAACCTTAATTTAAATATGAATTATCTCCATAATATGAAGTTCAGATTAAGGGAACAATCTTCACTATTTAGTAATTTAGTTCATTCAACTGGGAATAACAGTTCTTCGGGTAACTGCAGAAATTAAATCTATCTGTCTGTCTAAAATGTATCAGAACTCTCTCTCTCTCTCTCTCTCTCTCTCTCTCTCTCACACACACACACACACACACACACACACACACACACGCCATAACAAAGTTGATATCAAGATAGGAATAAGGGTGATTTCTTCTGATATTTTTAAATGGCAATGAGAAAGCAAAATTCAATTACTTTATCAGGGTCTAACTTTTCCATCTACATCTAAGCCATAAAATGTGATTAAATTAAGCTAGATAAGGTTAAATTAGGACTCCTATGATAAAACTGAAATTTTGTTACATCTACCCCACTGAAGATTTTAAGCTCTAAGAGATTAGTAGAAAAGTCAAGGACATCAAATTAGGATACAGGAAATCATTTTTCTAGCTCAGCGGTGTCAAACTTGGGCTGGATGCGTCATGCCAAAACCGCACCCGCCCCATTGCCAGCAATGGAAAAAAAGTCACACTATGTTGCAACATGTCACGTGACATTGCAAGTTTGACATCCCTATTCTAGGTTATCCCCCTCCCCCCACAAAATTCTTAAGCACTGTTTGAATTTTCACAACTAGAATTAATATATTATTCACATATAAATAAGACGGGTCTTTATTTTTTGTTTGAAAGCCATAAAAAAGACTCTGTCATGTTTTTTGTCTTTAAGAGACATAGGATCACTCAGCTGGAAATGGATAATATCCATCTGAAAGATGATCAAATGTGGTTTCTTTCTGAAAAAAATATTTTCTCTCACCGTTCTATAATTAGCAAGTGTAACTGTCATTTTAAAATGAAAACTGAAAGAATGGAAATCTGAAGAAAAAATTAAGTTAGAAATTATGACATCTTTCCTAACAGTAAATTCAGATAGTTTTGTCAAGTAAGAAATTTTCAGTGACCATTTCCCCCTCGGAAAACTAAAGCCCTGAATGATATCTTACGTTAAACAAAACTTTAAACCTTTTTATAAGTTAGCTTCTTACATCAAATATTAATATGAGATTTTAAAGTAGAGATTAGGAAAAGATATACAGTTATCTAAGAGCTTAACCATGAACAATTTGCACTATTTATCTATTGTTACTAATGATGCAAGTCTAATGCAGCTGCTCTGGTTTTCATCTTTTTCAGCTCTTATATAAAAAGAAGAATTTAGTATTAAGCTAGATACACCCATGGAATGATCAATTGGTTGAGTAAAGATTATGTATGTGTTCCCATTTTTACAGCAGAAAAGGTAATTTCATCAGACTTTAGTTATCTGTCCAAACGGCAGTGTTCAAGCCTGTGTGTGGAGGGAATTCAATTACCAAATTGGAGAAGGGATCAAAAGATAATTAAATGTAGTAGTACTACAGCAAAGACATATTCAATTTTTTTTGACAGATTTACATGATTAGCATTTTATTTTTATATATCTCATCTTCATGGAGGAACATGTTTCTTTAGCAAAGGAATAAAGGAATAAAATTGTGGCTAGAAATAACAATAAAATCAACAATCTTTAAAAACAATCGTAAAAATATTTCAATAAAAAACAATATAAATCTGAAAGTCTAATTTTGGGATATTTGTTTTCCTATTAATGCTGAGGTAAACAGACATGTTTTCCTCTGCTGCCTAAAAAAAGATGGGGGGCAGCTGGGAATGGGGAAGATGGGGGGGTTCTTGAGAATCAATTCCATAATAAGTGTGATACTATTGAGAGGTTCCAACAACCACTCTGTGAGTTAAACTAGGGGTCTCCAAACTTGGCAATTTTAAAACTTGTAGACTTCAATTCCCAGAATTCCTCAGCCAGTAGAAGTTCACATATGTCTTAAAATTTCCAAGTTTGGAGATCCCTGAACTAAACCAACCTGCAGGAAATAGCAAGGGCTCCCCAGCCAATTTTAACGCAAGAGCTGAATGGCACTAGGTGCATCAGTTTTTCAAATATTAAGCTTCTAAACCTTATTTAATTTGCAGGAAACATTTTTTCAATCGTCTTCCAACAATTTACAAAACAAAACAAAAATCCATCTTATACGCATACTTTCTACAGAAATATCAAAGTCCCAACTCAGTCCACTATATGTTCCTCTACAATTCCCAAACATGATAGCCACAACATGGCCACAACCACAACATGACATCCCAGAGATTCCCTGCCCCCTTCACTTAATTTTGAAGAAACTTTTAATTTTCAAACTAGCATGCTGAAAGCAGATTTCTGCCCTATTCATATTGTTTTCATATCATGCGAAGAACTACTTCTCTGAAGAAATTACAATGCTGGGAAAGGCAGAAAGAAATAGAGGATGACCAGATGTAAGGTGGATGGATTCAATTACAACAGTGATAGGTACCGCATTGGAAAACTGGAAGGACCAGCTTGGAGAACAGAAAATCCTGAATAAAATCTAGCAATGATTGCCAAGAGTCAACATGGAGCTTGATGACACCAAATCAATCAATATTATCATTTCTACAAATTCCTCTGGACTTCATACAGAAAATCCTCAGAAAACAAAATAAAGCCACTGAGGCTTTTCACTTATTGTTTTGCAAAAGCTTTTGTGGCTCTGCTGGGAAGAGAACATATGGCCCAAACCATAGAAAAATACTGATGTATACCTAAACATAATGCAACAGAAGGAATCAAAGAAAAACATTTATGAATGTCTATGAATGAATAGAAAATTTTACAACTTAGAAGGAACTTTTATTTTCTATCTTTTTTTTCCATTTTCACAGCTGGAGAGGTAGTTTGGTGTAATGGTGATGGCCTAGGAAGCAGGATATTACAGGTAGTCACAGGT